AACGTAGTTTTAGGTTATACAATAATCTTTGTGACTTTTAAACATATTTAGATAAAATAATTAATTGTTCTAAGAATTGAACTGAACAAGATTCACCAATCTTAAGCTCACTAAACACTTTTTTTCTCACTTAAACCAACTTGTAAATTCCTTAGATTGCTACGAACTGTCAAAGTTGTTTAGCAAAGTGTAGTTTGCTAAGCAAAAAAACTGGCACGGAAAAAGGGACAAACAATCACACCGCTCTGTCTCATTTCTATCCGAGACATATGCATAAATCTGTCTTTTTCGTGTGCGAATGCGAAAGAAGGCGTCAATTTGTCTATAGGTTTCTCTGCCTACGTTGCTACATTATTATTTATTATTTATGCTCCCTACCTACGATAGAGCAAAGTTAGACCATAGAGCATAGCATAGACTACTTTACTGCTTTTTCTCATTCTTTGTTATGCGGCAGTGTTACCGTTTTAGTGAATTTGGCGCTAGATCGTCGGGTCGAATCGTTCGGGTATTCCCCGACCCAAAGACTACTAAGAGATACTACGCATGGGAGTGCCACGACCAAAATGTTGCTGATGGGTTTATTGTTTTTCCGGCTTTCTCATTATGGTATTATATAGCTGCCCACTTTGCATTATATATAAGCTTTAATACGTGAGAAGAACTGGTTTTTCTTACTTGGAGGTTCGTGTTAGTCTTTTAGGTCAGTTTTGCGTTTTATTTTGTGATTTGAATTGTAAGTGCCACTGACGAAGAAAGCTTATAGTCAAAAATATAGATATAAATGGGAGTAAACACAAGAATTAAAAATTGGCTAAGACCCGTAAATAATGATGTAAATAAAGCCTTTTGTTCACTGTGCCATGTAGAAATGTTTGCAAAAATTGCCGATTTGCGTAGGCATCCAGCATCAAAAAACAAGAATAAAAGTGAAACTGTGTCAAAAAATCAGTAAATAATATGTTTTATGCTGTATCAAAGGAAAACTTTTGTAGTTAAAAATGCACAGAAACAAATGCACTCAAGTAATTATAAATCAGGTATTAGCGCCACATTTCAAAGATATCCTGTTGAAAGATATTGGCACTCAGAAATACAGCTTTATTCTTGATGAGGTGAGATGTTAGTGTAACATAGTTTATAGGTTTTATAGTGAGATATTTAAGCACGACATTAAAAAGAGTTATATCTGCTTTTCTATCACTAGAGCCTGTGGAAAAGGTGATGCCAATGCACTCATGGCAAACTTAGAAAAAGGTCTCAATTCCAATAATTTACCAATTGAAAATTTAGTATTGGCAGCGATCATGCTTCTGTGATGACAGGGCGGCATAACAGCGTATATGAAATTCTGCAAATACAATATAACTTACCAATCTTAATACTAATTAGATGCATTTTTCATTCACTTCAACTGGCTGTTAGTCATGCGTCCGAACAAACTATTCCGAAACATATTGAATTTCTTTTTAGACAGACTTATAAGTGGTTCGCAGTTTCAACGAAGCGCCAGCAAGTGTTTAAAAAAAATTTACAACCTCATCAATTATGGAGAATAGCCCCTGAAAACCTTAAAGCTATGTGATGCTCGCTTGTTATCAATAGGACTAGCTGTTTCACAACAACTGCTGTAACACAACAAGTACAATGGAAAGATTTAAAATTATATTTTCACGTTACTAAGGACAACTGTCATACATACTTCAAACTTACTAAGCACCATGTACGCAGATGAAGCTAACCGATTACATTTGTTGTACCTGAAAACTATTTTGAATGACGACTTAATAGGAATTAAAATATTTGAAGTAGGAAGGAAGGAAGGAGGTAAAACACGGGTCCCGATAAACTACTGGTATCTTTGATGAATATATAAAGATCTGTGTCCGTCAGAATCTTAATACCAAATGCTGCTATATCGGATAAAGATTATTTAAACTTTAACAACAACAACCACCTGAATCCGGTCCCCTATCCTATCTTGGATATCTGTTTGAGAACTCATTCAAAAAGCTAAACCGACACCGCAAGGCCTAGAAACTGTTAAAAAAACTGTATTGAATTCACAATTAGATTGACGATGAAAATTCAAAACAGACTACCAAATAATTATACTACCCTAAAAAAATAACCCAGCTATCAAAAGAAAATACATTGAAACGAAGTAAAGATAATTCAATTACTATCCTTGCTAAAGAATTGGGATTTGACAATGAAAATATTGATAAAATATTGACACAGCGTCAAATGGGAAGATCATAGTGATGATACAGTGAAATTTTGAGCTTTCAGGACTTAGCTATCAGCGTGCTGTCGCTTCTACATTCAAACGCCGAAATAGAGTGGATCTTCAGCGTTATGAACAATATTAAAAATAAACTACGTCATCGGATATCAGCTGAAACAATGAACTCAATTGTAATGATACGTCGTCAATTAAAAATTCTTAAGCAAAGCTGCTACACCTATGACTTACCTAAAAATGTCCTCGACAAAATTATCAAAACTGTGAAAAATGGAACAGCAGCAGGCTCATCATCATCATCGGCATCTGGAGGTGATGATGACCATGATGACGTAGTAAAATTCTTTTATTTAGTTAATTTTCGTATCAAATAATAGATAAATAAATTATGTTTTTAAATAATAGCATTTTTTCTAATTTTTTTTATACATATACAGCATACAACTTAGCGAAATTTAGTGGAGTTTAGATAGCGGATTTTCGTAAAATATAGCGCAATTTTGATAAGGGTTTAGCGTACTCGATATAATTATTACTTTTCTCTATGGTTTAGTGTATCTTTTGTTCTTCATACGGCAACCTATAAGCAATGTATTTATATCCAGTGTTGCCCACTTAACGGATTTCCAGCTAGATTTGACGGTTTAGCGAGATTGGCAACGGGAAAAAATTGTATTTAACGGCTAACGGATTTTTAACGAGACGGTTATAGGTATTATAAAACGGATGTATGTTTATACTTTGGTAGATTGAATTCTTAAAAATAATCAATGTGTGTCGAAAATCAATATCAAATCAATTCATTCTTAATATATATGGGGAATGAAAACTCGAAAATCCCTACTTGACGCGTTTTGACGGGATTATAGTGTTCTCTACAACGGGAGCTAGATTTTAATGTTGGCAACACTGTTTATATCTAGCTTATCTATGATGGCAACATTGTGTTGTGTGGTAGGGATGTTCGATGTTACAGAAACATCGATGATGACATCGATGTTGATATCGACAGCTTAACATCGATGTTCGATGTTTATCACACTCAAAACATCGATGTTGGCCATTATCGATGGTATAGCACATGTACCTATTTAGCAGGTTAAAATTATATGAACAAAAAATTAATTGTGTTGTTTATTGTTCATTATTATTGAAATTAATGAAATTAATAAAACATTTAATGTGAGACAGTAATTTGAAAATTGGAAAAAACTTAACAAATATTTAGTTAATTTGTAATATTTTTGCCGATAAAGATGAATATTATTATTTTGATATTTAAATGTTCCTATACAATTATAAATCCGGTATTAAAAAATTTAATATCCTCATTTACGATTTAGACGTAGGTTTTATATTAACTAACTATCGCGAAATAAAAAAAATGAGTATAGAGGGAAAATTAACAAACTTCACAAAAACAAAATAATAGACTTTTCCGTCACCATTGTTCACACAATTTTTAATCAAGCTGGGCTGCTTGATTAAAAGCAGTAAGTATCCACAGCCATTTATAAAATGCACTGTAGAATGCACTATGCAGTGAAATTGTCTACGCTCACAACCGCCCAGTGATTTATTTTCATAAACTTCAAGCAAACAATAAACTTGTTATCCCAAGCTCAAAAAAAACAGCTAAATATAATTAAATTGTGTAGATATATATTGTTTCAAAATTATGTGGGAATAGACAGCAAGGAAAAAACAATCAATTTGAATATCAATTTATGTAAAATAGTTATTAGGCGACAACCGACAACGACACCACAATACCAAAGCGAAAGTAGTTACACCCTTAACAGGGAGTTTGACACAACATAAAAAATACGTGTGGCACTCGGTGACTGCCGCGGTAAAGCTATTGCATAGCATTTTTTATCAACTTATGCAATTATAATTATTTATTTATTTTATTTATGCAGTTAAGTCTTTGATATTAAATCTAGTTACACTTTTTGAAAGTGGTGACCGGTAAGAAAACAATTTTTTTCTCTTATTGAATAAATGAGAAGTTAATATTGTTTAAAATATTTTTAATATCTTACAATACATGTAGGTTATTCAGGAATTTTTATCATTCAGTTAGCAGCTAGTGTACACGCATACGTCTAGTCGCACGCACACAAACACCGTGCCGAACTCTGCCGAGTGCCGAAATCTGCCGAACTAAAACGACGTTAGACGATGCACGGCTTTCAACGCCACACCTCCGTGCCCGTCGGAGTGCGGAGCGTGAGGTTTTTTTTCGTTAAGGAATTTCTGGATTCGATCCCCGCGCTCAAGGCCCGCGATAGAAGCTATGCAATAGCTTAATAATGTTTTTTTAGGTGATCGATGCATTTAGGAATCCTTAATTATTCAAAATTTTAAAGCATTAATAGGAGATGAAATATTTAGTTGATATTGATTTCGCGGGTTCGCGTTGTTCACAAGTTCTTATTAATCGATTATTGGTTCATTGGCATCGATGTTTGACATGTGGCAACATCGATGTTTCGATGTTTAAGATATGGTAACATCGATGTTAAAACATCGATGTTTTAATTTCCAACATCGATGATTATCGAACATCCCTATTGTGTGGTTGTTTTTGGTTGTTTTCTATTTAGTTCTTGTTTTTAGGTTGAACTTGAATTATCTTGATCTGATTTTGAATTTGGTTACTACGTTGATTGAAGGGATTAGAAAAATATTAGAGTTTGATTAAATATAACGAGACAAGTAAACGTATAAAAGCTAAATAACCTCGTTGTATTTGCAAGGTAATTTAAATAGATTGAATTTGATACATTTCTAAATTACTGCAATAGGGATAATGTTTTTTCTAGTAACCTACTATTAAAACATTATTTCTTAAAGTCTCGTAACGTTTCAACGTTTCCTATTATTTTCTTTCATTTATAATTGTCATACATTTATACTTGTGTACTTGTATACTTTATTGTAACACCATATTGTATCCGCCATTTTTAGATTATGTTTGTGTCTGCAATATTGCAAATATTAAAACTTGTATTCTATTTTTAAGTGGGTATTCTGAAATATTATTTTAGGAAATATCCTTTAATTATCTGCGTTGTTGTTTTATATTTGAGAGTTTATTTTTTGTAGAATGTCTGAACAACGTGGAAGAGGACGAGCTCGAGCGCGTGCAGGCAGAGGAGGCGATAGCGCACCGCCACCACGACGTCCCGGCGAGCAACAACGAGGCCCGCCTCAACAGCAACCGGCTCCCCCCAGGACCCCGACCTCAACCACCTTCGGCTTGGGGCCCGCCAACTGTAGCCCCTCCTGTTAGAGCAGGCGTCCCTGTGCCTTCAGTTCAAGCAGGGCGTGCCTCTCATCGAACCACGCCAACTACACATGATCATCCTGGCGATGTCGATATACAACAGCGTATGCAAACGTTAGAAATTGGTTAGTAAAATTGATGAGTAGCAGAGAGTAATTATAAATATCAAATGTAACATATAGTGAGTTAACAAGATTTGATTTATTGCTTACAGGGCAGCCATCGGCTTCTGGAGGAGGTGATGCTGGTGGAGCACTTGCAGGCCGCGGTTCTCGTCGTGGTGGTGGTCGAGTTCTGCCAGAGCAAACTGCTATTTTACGAACACGACCAGCTAATGTAACCTCCAAAAAAGGTACTTATTATTTTAAAAGAGGGAAGGTGGGTAGGTACCCACAAATATGTTCAACAGTTTAAAATACCTAAAAATATGTTCTACAGCTTAAAAATATTTGTCTAGTTGTTATATTTTAAAGAATATATTATTTCAGTGTAAAATACCGTTTTTCTTGGGTCTGTTATGATTTTGATGTTGACTGTTGTTGAATTTGAATTGAGAACCCACAACTCGCTATGTACCTTTACGTCTAACTGCCACTTGTTGGACATAGGTCTTTCTAACATTAGGAAGAATTTACTAAAATTGTCATGTTTGATGGATGCTTTTGTGACAACAGACATTTGCCACCTTTGTTGACATGCAGTGAAACTTTGATGCCATCTATCAGAAGCCACAAAATCCAGGGTGGGATGCCCCTAGTATATAAATTTATTATACTGCAAAAACAAGGTTCTAGTGGTTTTAACTATAATATCAAATCAAACAGTTTATTTGTGATTCACAGGTTACAAAAAGGTTTTAATTAAATATAAATAAAGTTCAGTCTGTGATCAGAAATAATGTCAAATACCATTGGGTAGTTCATCGATTACATATTCATAATGATAGATTAAATTATTCATTTTAAATATTATTTGTAACATTGGATTAGATTATTCATGTTAGATTAGGTTACTGGCAACTAAAAAATGATTCTTAATCAGATCAAAGTTATTTAAAATATTACCTTACAAATTAAACTTAATTTAAAATCAAAACAACTATACTATGGACAATGTTCATTTCACTACTGCTTTGATAAATTTTGTTCCTGATAAAATTAGACTTATTTTACTGATTTTAGATATTATTACTTCCATGAAGATACATAGTAATGTAATTATTTTTTATAGATTTATATTTTCTTTTAATGATCGATGGGGCTGCAATTACATATACTATATGTATGAAGTGGATAATGTCGGCCGTCAGGCTGTTATTTGATTTTAGGGTACCAAATACAAAGTACCTAATTTCTTATATTATGAATCAAGTTTTGTCATAAACTGAAATCATCATCATCATCATTACAGCCCTTCACAAGTCCACTACTGAACATAGGCCTCCCCCAAGTAATGCCACAAAGTACGGTCCTGAGCCACCTGCATCCATCGACTTCCTGCATGTGTTACCTGGTTGTCACTCCATCTAGTGGGGGGTCGCCCTACACTACGCCTACCAGTACGAAGCTGCCACGAAAGAACCTTTCTTCCCCATTGGTTGTCTGTTCTTCGAGTTATATGGCCAGCCCCTTGCCACTTCAGCTTACTAATCCATTGAGCTATGTCGGTCACTCTGGTTTTACTGCGGATATCCTCATTTCTGAGTCTGTCACGCGGACAAACTCCGAGCATAGCCCTCTCCATAGCTCTCTGAGCATCCTCATATGGCCAGCAGTGAAGGACCATGTCTCAGATCCTTAAGTCATTACTGGCAACACGCACTGGTTGTACAATCTAGTTTTCAGAGTTTGAGGTATATCTGATGAAAAGATGTGTCGTAATTTCCCAAACAAAAATTCGAATCAAAGGCTTTCACAGTCCACATACGCCAGGCAAAGTGGCAGATTGTACTCTTCGGTCTTCTGTACAATCTGCTGCAGGGTATGTATGTGGTCTATGGTACTGAAACCTTTTCGGAAACCGGCTTGTTCGGGAGGCTGGAAGTCGAGTCTGGGTGTGAGACTATTCGTAATGACTCTCGAAAACAGCATGTAGACGCGGCTCAGAAGGGAAATCGGTCTGTAGTTCTTCAAGAGAGTGTTGTTGCCTTTCTTAAGGAACAAGACCACTGCACTTCTGCTCCACGCCTCTGGAGTACTGCCACCATGGAGGACGGAATTGAAGAACTTCTGAAGGACTTTAAGTACCGGTGTTCCACCCGCTTTCTGAAGCTCCGCTGTAATTCCATCCTCACCTGGGGCCCTTAGCATTTTTAAGGTGCTAGAGAGCCATTCTAATCTCGCTCAGACTGATGTCTGGGATATCATCGGAATAGTGTTGGATAAGACTTGCTCTTGGATTGTTACTCACTCTTGCATGTGGCTCCAACGATGATGTGCAGCTGCCCATAGAACCTCTCAATCTCACTCAGACAATAAACACACAAAATCTCAGGTGTCCTGGAAACGATGCTGCCACACTCAGTCTTCAGCTTTGACAGTTGGCTCTTTCTGGCAGACAGATCCCTGGCAAAGACTTTGGAGCCCTGGTTCTGCTTGATCGCTTCTTTAATACGAGCAGTATTAAAGTAGCGTAAGTCTCAGTTGCCTGTATACTGTCAAATCTGTTGACGATTGCAGCCTCATCTCCCTTCTAACAACCTTGAGATTAAGAGTGTGATCGGAGAGTATTTGTGTTCTTCTGCGGCGGGTCTTGCAGAACTTAGCTCCGACCGCATGGACAGTTTCCACAAGCTTGTCATTTATATCGTCCACTGCATTGCAATCTTCTAGGCACTGAAAGCAGTTATGTAACTCGGGCTGAAAGGTTTCGGGATTCTGGATTAGAGCATGAGGGGGAGAAGCATTGACTTCATTAGACGAGACCTCTCCAACTTAACCATTCGGTGATTGCTGCCAGTTTTCACCCTGGCGATCACTGAGCAGTTTACGTCTGGTCGTCATAATGAAGTCAAACTCATTTTTTGTCGAACCGTCGGGGCTCTACCAGGTCCACTTTCTGTGAGGCTGCTTCTAGAAGAGTTCACCATAAAAAGTCCCTCTTTCTCCATGAAGTAGGCCAGCTGCTGGCCCCTTGGGTTCCATTGCCCTATCCCAAATTTCCCTACCTTCAGCTCCCGTTCTTTTAGCCCCGTATAGTGAGTTTTGGAGGAGGGCATGGCTCTAGAAATATCCTCATACATTTCCTCCACCTCCTCATCGGGATGTTGCGCCGTTTGGTAATTCTGAGTATAAGGTATGCAATGCAACCCTCGTCGATACACGCCCAATCTTTAAAATGTTGTTAACGAGAGACTTGTGGACGATAAATCCAACACCTCCTTGGGACAGATGGTCCCAAGTAGAACTGAAACAAATAATATTAATTATAATGTAAAATTATAATTGAAAGTTTAGCAAAATATGTCAGTACTTACTTTTTTATCATACATTTATTGTACATTAAGAATGTGTTATATTTTCACTATTTTTTGAGGAAGATTAAGGTATAAATAATTATAACTTAGTACATAAACAAAAAACTCATGAAGGAATGCAGCTTAGGACCCTGCTATGTGGGCAACCTATGGAGAAAATCATATTCAGCGGTAGACTTCTGGTGTGCTGTAGTGATGATGATGTTTCGAAAACTTCGAGATTGATTTATTAATAATAGAAGTGTAACATAAATTTTTATCACGATTTGTTTTAATTTATTATATAGTGTTAAATAAAAAACCGAACTTCTTAAAAACAAAACACTTCAGTAGATGTAGGCAGAGTAAAACATTTTGTTTTACAAAATAATTATTCATTCAATTTATGCATTCTCATGATATGCATGACTTAAAATTAGAAGTTCTTACGAATTTATTACTATGGCAAAACCCTAAAACTAAAAGGGCTTTAACCCTATGCTGGACTAGCACTAGGGACACAAAAATACCATATATGGCACAGGGTGGCTGGAATTTGAGCCATTATACCTTTTTTTTTGTTTATCATTATTTTAGAAATTTCTTTTAATGTTCATTAACTTTTTACATAAATAACCTATTTATTAAAACAAGATTTTTAATACATTGTGTTCCTATTAAAATAGTATGAGTTTTTAAAGTTCATATTAGCACTAAAAGGCTTGTAAAAATAAATAGCTGAAGTAAACTTGTGTAGCTGTTTCAACACTGGTAAGGTTTTCTATTAGGGACATTATGCTATGGAAATAGCCAAACTTATCTAGCTATTTCAACACTGGTAAGATTTCTAATCTTTCTTACAGCATATGCTGCAGAACTAAGTGTGGTTACTAGTTTTGATATATGAGGGCCCCATTGAAGCTCTGTGTTTATTGTGATTCCAAGAAAAATTGTGGTATCGACAAGACTCAGCTCTTCCCCATTTATCTGATCTGACAAATAATTATTTTTTTTTTGTATTCAAGCAATCCAATTGAGCTTTTATAAGTTAACTTTTTAGTAAAGGAAATTTTAGAAAAAGATAACAATTATTAGCAGTAAAGAAAATGCACTTATTTTTACATAATTGCTATTTCAGAAATACAAAATAAATTTCCTTTACTAAAAAGTTAACTTATAAAAGCTCAATTTGATTGCTGGAATACAAAAAAATTTTGTGATTTGTCAGTAATGGCCAAGAGAATGGTTATAAAATAAAGAAGGAACCCATACATACAATATAACTTTATAGACATAACAATTAGGACAGGAATTGTCACATGTTTTTCAACAAAGAATAAGACTGAATTAATTTGATTACAAAAAAGTTAGATTTTCTTGGCCATTCTACATACTTTTGCTGTTGATACCACCCATTCAAACCTAAGGCAATAAGGATTTCTTCGTCATTTTTAATGCATACAGTAAAGTGTGGAATAAATTTGGAGCATCTGCTTCTCCATTCAATTACAATGCAAGTGTTTTGAAGCAGTTTGCAGTCTTCAAAAGTTAATATGATTTTGTTAAGCTAAGTCTCTAAGCCGTACTTTCTTTGACGGCAACACCACTTTCCATCGGGTGGTATTGTAGTCAAGCACTGGCAATAATGGCTAAAAATATGGCATGGCAATGGCAACCTCTGCATGTGCACATCTTGCAATTGCACATCGACCAACGCAGGCTTATGTTTTACGGCTATAATTCGTCAATTTTTAGATGGTGGTTCAGTAATCAGTTAGGTACAAGTAGACATCTGTATTCCAATGCTTCTGCCTCCTCAAACTCTGCCACGAGAAAGGCAGTAAGTCACTTGACTGGTGTCAAATAGAAAAGTTCAGGGCAGTTACTAAGTAGTAGAAAGACCATTAAGGTACTTCACAATATACTATTACAAATATTTTCTATTATATCTTGTTTGTCGTGTTTTACACTCATGATTATACATATAAATGTCATTATACAACTGGTATGAATCTTTTTTAATTAATTCTATATAACCATCCATATTATTGATTAAAACTACTTAAGGATTTATCGCATCTAGGATATGATCACAAACTTCAGACTTCCAGTGATCATATCCTAAGCCGCCTAAACAATTACATCAGATTTGATAGATCACAAATCCTGCTGGCTGCGCTAAAGTGTGGTACTTTGGGGCAACAGCACAGACGCTAATAAAGTATTTCTTAATAAGAAAAAAAAATGTATTGCATACTTGCAAATGTAGACTCGATGACAAGCTGTAGAAATTACTTTATCAATTATAATATCCCGATATGTATTAACATCCTTATACAGTTATTTTTCAAAAAGTATCCAAACTTTGTATATATTGATATAACGTTATTACAGTTTTTGAAAATACGAGTAAATAAGGCTTCTACTTTTGTTTGAAATTATCCCAAATTAAATGTGATTTATTTATGGACAACACGCGTACGCATGTGTGATGCAATTCAATTCACATAGTTTTTGCCTATTGTTAAGGCTCGCCACATACATAGGGATTTTCGTTTCTGAATTCTGATTCGGGATTTCGAACGCAGCAAGTTCATATAAAATCAAAGACCCGTCACACACCTACGGTAGTTTTCCATTAGAAATTTTGTGGGCAAAACGGGATTCTGTGTAAAAGGCAGACCCGTTCGTTCCAACGGAATTCCGTATGTAGTGTTTGGCGGGCCTTAGCTCACTCTAAAGATTGACTGATCGACTATACTAACTGAACACGACGCGAAGTATGATTCCAATTTTACCTTCATACTTTTAACGGGATTTTTGCTTATCCAACGACTTAACCGATGACTCATTATTATGGCATTTTTAAAAAATTTAAATAAACTATTTATAAATAGATGACACAAGTGGTCCCAATAACCTCCATACATAAATGAGCATGTTTTACAAATTTTGAAGTTCAGGAATTCAAACTCGTATACTTTTAAGTATTTTTCATTTCTAGACGAAAAAAATATCAACAAAAATTTGTTTGGAAGCTCGCCATTGTTCATTAATAAATTATGGTTGACTACCACCACTTGTGAATATATCTATACAAATAAATAAAATTGTTCATAATGTCAAAATGACAGCTTATTCCTAAATGTATGTGAAAGTTAATACGGTACTTCTATTAAAAAAAAAAAAACAATTTCTAAAGGAATTTTCTCGGTCTGTTCTAACTAATCTCGGCTGTATTTTTTTGTTACGGCTAATCTCCAAAACCCGAAACTGCTGGATCGATTTTGACGGGGTTTTCACTGGCCGTTGTTATGAGGAGTAATGCAAAAAATTAAAACCCATGAAATCCAATCGTAATAAATTCACAGCTGTTCCAACGCGGACGAAGTCGCGGGGAACAGGTGTAATTCGTAAATGTCATTGATAATTTTTTAAACCTTTTAAATGTCCAAATTTTATTTAAAAATGGAAAAGGTTTTTTTAAATCGTTATTAAAAATCATTTTTAACATTCTTTTTTTTATTATATTGAATTATGAAAGGTTGAGGGCACACTTATGCAATAAATTTTAATTATAATAATTTATGTATAATATACATTACATGTGAATAAAGGTGTTTAGCGTTCATTAATGTGGCCTGGGTAGAAAGATTAAGAAATCTGTCATTCAATTTGCATCAGATATATCTAGGGGTTCATTTCACTTGTTAATTGTCCTTCCATTTGCATTTGATGGATTTTACAGTTCTATTTATTCAAATAACAAAAATGATAATCCAACTTTAGTTTAAGGATTGTCATCCTTATAGTTAAGCCTTATACGTGGTAGAGCCATGCTGCAGTTATATTAGTAGTATAGTTGTAGCAAGAATGGGTCGGCTCGACCGGGGAAGGACCACACTCTCACAGAATACCAGCGTGAAATAGTAGCTTAATGCTGCTGTATTTCGTATGGTGAGTGTAGAGAACCGGAGACCCTTTTTACTGGAAACGAGGCATTCCATCTTAGTCCTCACGGGTGACAACACATCTGCATTTTGATTCGTAATCGAGGATAGATGTAGATGTATATGGGCCACAGCAACCACTTACCATCAGGTGGACTGTGTGCTCGTTTGTCACCCTATCCTATAAAAAAAAAAAGTTTTAGTTTTTCAATTTTCCTGTGATATATTCATTCAAGTATAAATACTTACATAAACATCTAAAATTTACTTTTTTTATTCACAAAGTAAACAAAATTCTTATGATGTCCTTCTTACCAAGTTATACTATATTTATTTATAAGCAGGTTATAGAATCTTTAAATAGAAAAAAACTAATTACTGTATATGGACCAAATATGGATTTCTTTTACTGAACCGAATATTCGCCTGAATATTATTCGGCAGGATCACCTTGGTACCAGGTACCAGACCAATTTAAGTCGAAACTTGTTGCCATAACGTGTGCGGGATTAGCGCTTTACCCCGCCCTTCGCTCCCCCGCCTCACCGGACATGTTATTACTTATTAAATCATCTAGTACTGTGCAAATTGCCCGCACATGCTTATGTTTTGACTATTTTAGTGAGAAAGAAAGTATTTCGTTGTGTTATTCTTAGTGAAAATTGATAATTATATGATAAAAACAAGTGGCAGGTGATCTATTATTTGGACTTATTTTAGAGAAACTGACGACCAAAGTAAAGTGAAATGTAATGTCATGTTCCTTTGTTTGATTCCAAAAGTATTTTATCAAGCTTTCTATTTGCTATAATTGGAAATAAATTTACAGTGCCTCAAAAACATAATATTTCAAGTAGATTTGGCCCATAACAAATAAAATATACTTTCAACAGTAAAATTATGAAAGATTATGGCTTTACTCAATTTGTACATTTCAATACAGTACACCACTTTAAACGAATGTTCGGTGATTTAGCCGAATATTAGGCAGAATACGAATATTCGGTAAAGCTGCCGAATACCAAATATGAAACGCAATATTCGGGCCATCTCTACTAATTACCCTCCACATACTGATTGTTTAATAAACTTATACCTTTTACAGGTTCCTATGGGCACCCCTTGGATTTATTAGCTAACTATTTTGCTGTGGAAACTACACCACAGTGGCGTCTCTATCAATATCATGTAGACGTTTCCCCTGAAGAAGACAGTACTGCGGTGCGCAAGGGCTTGCTTAGAGTTCACAGCAAAACTCTTGGAGGGTAAATGTATATTTATAAAGTATTAACAGTAACTATAAGTAAATCTTTATTAATTAACATATAAGTATAAAATTTTATGTGGTCGATGACACATTCGGCTTCATGATTTTTTGCCAGTTCATCACTCCCATCTAATGGGAGACTGCCCAAACTGCTAGAAGTTGACGGATGCAGGTGGCACAGGACCATGCTGTGAATCATGCCTTCTCGAGGAGCCTCCTCAGACCTATGTTCAGCAGTGGACTGGTGATGGATTGTCATGATGATGATGATGATGCTCATGATGAGGTCTTTAGCTAGGATGTTATAATACTAGTATCTCAAGAGCCAGTTTCCACCGTAATTCTTAATTTAGATAATAATTACCTTATAGATTAACCATTTTTTTTAAATTATAAAAAATGGTTATGAAATATAGGGTGGGCCATTAAGACGATTGAATGTGAAAAACATAGGGAAATAACGAAATAGGACTGAAATAAACATTTATTTAAATTTAAATAAACAAATAGCGATTTTTAAATTTTCTACATCTCACAATGCAAGCATTTTTCGAATTTGGCACCTTAATGTTTAAGAAACGCCCTATGCGTGCGGAGTGTTGGCCACTTGTTAATTTTTTTTAAATTGTTTAGTTCTATGTGTCTAGGAGTGTGTCTGAGTAGGTTCAACCCAGTGCCAAATAGCAGTGAGTGCATTGATGTGTTCCAGTATAAAACCTATTAGTAACTAAAGGCTGTGAGGCATTCAATCCAGTGCCAAATAGCAGTGAGTGCATTGCTGTGTTCCAGTATAAAACCTATTAGTAACTAAAGGCTGTGAGGCATTCAATCCAGTGCCAAATAGCAGTGAGTGCATTGCTGTGTTCCAGTATAAAACCTATTAGTAACTAAAGGCTGTGAGGCATTCAATCCAGTGCCAAATAGCAGTGAGTGCATTGCTGTGTTCCAGTATAAAACCTATTAGTAACTAAAGGCTGTGAGGCATTCAATCTTAGTCCTCAGAAACCATAATTCATCTGTAGCCTCCTTTATTTCAAGATTTTTGCAGTTATCCACGGGCTGCAGTAGCCTTAGCATCAAGTGGACTATACGCTGGTGTCACTTCAGTTTAAAAAAATAAAAGTCGAATTTAAATCTTACTTTTTTTAAATGTTAGTTAGTTAGTATAAGTATTTTCTCCTGGATAGTGGAGGCAGTTTACAAACATAAATTGCACATGGACTAACACCAATTTGTCAAGTAACCCAAAAAAGATGTAAAGGGGCATCAGATCTGGACTCTTATGATGCTCCACAATATGTTTCCTTGATAACATCCCGGTGACGACTGCTATGACTCGTTAGATGTATGGCATGTTACGCCGCCTTGTTAAAACCGTGTCCGTGGCTGTTATAGATTCAAAATTCATGCAATTGCAGGGACAAAAATCCATATAAAATTGTTAGTGGTCGGAATTCACTCTCACAAATTAGCCTTGTTGAGCAATGCCATCTTACTTTCCCTTTATCATCTAAAACATTTTCTTCCTATTAATCTAAGCTCATGCTTATCCAAACAAAACGTGAGGTATTTTAAATACCGTACTAAATTTCTCCACTATGTTGATAAAGAAATTTAAGTAAAGTACATAATCTGACACATATTTTCAAGCTCATATGAAAAATTGAATAACGGGTAATGGGTGAGTAACATTACCACTAGCGTAAACTTTGTTCCTTGCTACAAAATTAAAGAACCAAATCATAAATTAGTGTTGGGTATTAATTATATTATGTGGTAAACTTATCTCCATCCTTAAAGTCAAATCCTATTATTTTCATTATAAACCCCGATTGTAAAGTTGCCACAAAGTAAGGTTAGCGTTGCCATTTCCTATTTTTGAGTATTTTGTGTATTTCATTTTAGTATTTTATTAAGTCACTAATAGTTACCAAATTTATGAAAAATATGTCACATTTTACATTGACGCCCAATCATAGAGCAATCTTGCCAGGTTCATAGTAAATAATATTTTTAACCACCAAAATTAACAGTTATTTTTTTAAATTACAACAACAAGCAATTTGAATCATTAGCACAATCCCTTTATGGTCCACCCCATATAAATTATTTTATATTATTTCTTTTTGTTTCAGCTTCTATTCAAAATACAATGTTTATATTATTTTTCATTGCTTTTTAGATATCTATTTGATGGGACAGTCCTATATACTATTAAACGTCTTCACCCAGAACCCTTAGAGTTATACTCTGATCGCAAAACTGATGGAGAACGCATGAGATTATTGATCAAAGTAAGGGGATTATTTTAAGTATAATTTAAAAAGCCATAAACATTTTATAAGAATTTAAAATTAAAACTCACAAGTCCCTTCATTATTATAGTTCCACATAAGCATCTAAAACTATACAAACAGTTTGAGTGGTATAAGGTATTGTTTTATTTATAAATATTGCAGAATAACCAGTATGTAACTAAAACATTTTATTTGCCCAATTTTTGTAGTTATGCCACTTTTTGTGTTATCAAAGAATAAATAAATCAATTTGTATTTACAATTAATTACAGTAATTTTAATACTTTAACAGGTGATGAAATAATATGTATTAGTAATCAAATATGTTGCAAGTAGATTAGTTGCCATTTTTTTAATTAGAACATGTTTTTAAATTATGATATTATTCCACATTTTAATGAAAGCTACGAAATATTTCCATCCTTAATATTTTTTTTCCATCAAACTAAAATACCTCTCTGTTTTTAACAGTTGACCTGTGATGTCAGCCCAGGTGATTATCACTATATTCAGATATTTAACATAATTATACGAAAATGCTTCAACCTGCTACAACTTCAACTTGTTGGAAGAGACTTCTTTGATCCTGTGGCAAAGGTAATATATTTATCTTGCTAATTCATTTGCATCGGTGTACGAGAACCATTACCCATTGTATTCCGTGGCGCAAGAAGAGACTATGCTAGAAGGATGAAAAGCTGGAAGATTTTATTGCTACAGACAGATTGCGGTATATCGAAGGCTAATCCGTCAAGTGTGGCGATTATAGCAAATCCTCTACAATTGGATAGGCCTATATTCAGCAGTGGCCTTTTCAGAAGAGGAATCAATTATGTACTTTGTAATGAATGCGCTCACACAACCTTGTGTGGTTGCGACCTAAAACAATCCATAATCCAATTACGTAACGTAGTTTTCTTAACATGGGACTATTAGAAAAACCACAAAGATTGCCTCTGAAAGATGTCAGTATACCATCTCATATAAGCGTGATGTAAAGGGTATGTTTCGAAACGTTTTCAGTATACTGCCGAATACAAATGACGTCATCAATTGACACTATATTGTACTGGCGTGCCGCCGCCATATTGCGTCGGATATCCGGTCATAATAAAACAATTTTTAAGAGCACAAAATGACAAAATAATCGCCAACACTTTTCCAATATGGCGCAAATGTATGACGTCATATACTGTCCTATGTTTTGGAACGAATCACCAGTATAGCGTCGATTCATGACGTCATTTGCATTGGACAGTACACTGGGTTCTATTTTGGAACATACCCATAATACCCACACAGGCGATAGAGTAGCTATAGGGATAGGTATTAGGTTTGCGAGCCGTCTGCTACTCCGGTCGTAAATGTGCCAGCTAGGCTATTGTGATTAAAGAAAAATCCCAGGAGACACCCATGTCCAGCAGGGGAATGTTATTGACTGATAAAGAATCGAAGACATACCAAAGGAGTTTGTTACCTATAAGCTTTACTTTTAAATTATCATATTCTTAAGTAACCTATGCAGCTATTATATTATTATTATTTATTCTAGCATTTAGTATTGTAGGGACTAAACCAAGAGTTTGTGAATGTCTTATGAGTCTTGTGCAATACAAGATCAGGTTATTAAAACCAATAACTATAGGAAATACATTGTAAAGAATGGCACCGACGATGTCTGTTGAACTAATTACCACCCCAGTGAGTCACATGACATGTCTTCTCTAGTTGTGCAGTGCTTTCTTACTCTGAGTAATACTTGCACAGTTGGCTGTGTACATAGTGACTAAGATTTTACATTGTGGTCGAAAATTCTTGCGAATAACTTGATGGACCGAGCAGTCAAAAATATTTTTGTTCGATATTACCATTCCCTATAATGAGCATCTGGTTCTGGTGAAGACCAAAACAGATAAGTAAACAAAATATCTGGACCTGCCTCACGGGATGACCGACATATGGAGTGGTCTTCTGACCGAAATTATTCCCTGTAGTCGTTTCTGCGAATGTGCTAATTCCAGTAATCTCTTGGGTCATCTGGGGCGGTTGGGACTCTGGCTCAAATGTAGAAGCTGGTGTTCTTTCCTTTTCCCCCCTGTATATATATATGAATTGCAATTAACTGGATTAGTAACACTTGATTATCGAGACGAGGTCTTCAAAATATTTTATGTATTGTAATCACTACAGACTTTCACAAGTTCTCTTCTGTATCCATCGACTTTCTGCATATCTTAACAGGTCTTTACTGTCCGACGTCGAACGTTCTTAACATCGGATATTAAAAATAAGTAAATTAAATTAATCAAATCTGTAAAATAAAAATCGTTACATCTACACTTTTTTATTATTGGTTAGTCAGGTATTTATTGTGTATGTCATTTGTTTCTTTGTCTTTTTTGTTATTTAAATCTTTATATTTTCAGGTTGACATTCCAGAGTATAAACTGCAAATTTGGCCTGGATATAAAACTACTATTAATCAGTATGAAGACAAAATATTGATGGTGACAGAAATTGCACATAAGGTAAATATTTTTTTTAAATAAGCTTTATAACATTCAAAACTTTTCTGCTATTAAGTTTGGTAATTAATAATTTTAGGTTTTACGTATGGATACTGTGCTCCAAATGTTGAATGAATATGCAGCTACAAAGGGTGCAAATTACAAGAAAATATTTTTGGAGGATATTGTGGGTAAGTATTTAACATATTATATAGTAATATGCCTCTATAAAATTAAAATGCTTTAGAAAAGTATTGCATTATCAATACATAAGTTAAAGTAATGTTTCGCTTGCCCAGCTATCACTTATAATTTGACTATCTTGGTAGATTTTTAAGATTCATGTCGTAAGAAACACGTTTTTAGTCATAAATATCATCAGGGCCCTATTTAATAAATGTAATGATTTACAATTTTTAATTACAATTATATTTCTACGTTTCTCTTGAATAAAAATTAAATCACAAAATTGTCTTTGTGAAATATTAACAAAATTGTAGAATTGTAGCTACAGTTAACATAATGTATTATTTTTTTATGCGCATAATACTACACATTGAATAGATCGCAGCACATTGAATGTGCGAATATTTATTGTTAAATAATTACAGGGGTTTTTTACAATTTTAGAGGTTTGATTTACAAATATTTAACAGTGTTATTTTTACAAATTTGTCGGATTATAAATTTTAGTAGCAAGTCTTAATAACCATCTTATAAAACACAAATTTATTTTAAAATCGAAATGTTATATTTTTAGGTAAAATTGTAATGACAGATTACAACAAGAAAACATATAGGGTTGATGATGTTACTTGGCAGGCAAACCCCCGATCTACTTTCAAAATGAGAGATGGTGACGTTTCCTACATGGATTATTATTATAAGGTCAGTTACACAATATAAAACTTACCATGTCTCAAAAAGTGATTGCTTATTAAACAAATAATTATAATGAAGTCGTAAAATAACGATAATATAAAATTCTTACAAAGCAAAAATTAGAAAAGCAAGTAAAATATATTTTTAAATAAAGTATAGATTTCCTTAGATAAACAACACTGGTTACATGTCACGTTATACGCATTTTTATTCTATTTAAGAATTTTTATACACAAGGTGACAATGATAAACCTTCATACCTGCACTTAAACAATACAAATAAAAAAATCTTTTACGGATGTCACCCAGAGGGATAGGCAAAGCGATTAGTCATTTACTATCTTAATATATATATAAATTAGGTGTCACGTTGTTTGTCTGCGATGGACTCCTAAACTACTTAACCAATTTTAATCAAATTTGCACACCGTGTGCAGTTGGGTCCAATTTGAGAGATAGGATAGTTTTTTTGCCGATGAGTGACCCACAATTTTTTTTTTTGCGAATTTAAGTATTTTTTATAGGATATGATAAAGGGTTGTTGAAAAGGGCAGAACAACGTCCGCCTGGTAAGCTAGTATATAAATGATTTATAAAAATAATATTTCTTTTTTAGAAATACAACATTCGTATCCAAGATGTTGGGCAACCATTATTGATATCACGTTCGAAGCCGCGCGAGATCCGCGCCGGCATGCCTGAGATGGTGTACCTCGTGCCGGAGCTGTGCCGGCAGACCGGACTGTCGGACGCCATGCGTGCCAACTTCCAATTGATGCGTACCCTGGCCGTTCATACTAAGATCGGCCCTGATATGCGCATCAAAAAATTGCTCGAATTTAACAGACGACTCACACAAACTAAGGAAGTTGTTGCTGTTAGTATGCTGTAATATTTTTCTGAATCAATATTTAAAACGAAAATGATATATATGACTTAAAGTAAGATAAATCCCAAATTTTTAATACAATGTGCTCTCTCTCTCTCTCTCAAATATGTATATATGTTTTATCAGAATTGAAACACATAAAACAATGAATAGGGTATTTTACACCATGTAAAATAAATTGAAAGAGATTTTGTAAAAAGTAAACGAGAAAGATCGATTTCTATTTATGAAATCGCATTATAAATTTTATATTCCAATTTTAAGAATACTTCTTTTTGTCTGTGCCTCAAATCTGCAAAACGCTGTCTGCCATATTAGACACTGCCATGACGTCACTGATCCATCCTAAGGCTAAGTGTTCTGTGTCACTGATGAAGAGAACTAGCTCATGTGCTGTGTTATTTCGAAATTTTTCAAGTTATCGTTACGATTATTAAGTTTTATTCCGAATTTTATTGAAAAAGCATCATGGAAGACAAATTCGTAAAAGCAGAAGGTACTAATCTCTAACAAGGGTAAATAAATTGATGGTGGCAAATTTTTTTGCATGCAATCGCAATTTTTGTTCTGCTGAGTCGAGGAATGTTAAAACATTTTTTATACGTGGTAGAGCCATGCTGCAGTTATATTAGTAGTATAGTTGTAGCACGAATGGGTCGGCTCGACCGGGGAAGGACCACGCTCTCACAGAATACCAGCGTGAAATAGTAGCTTAATGCTGCTGTATTTCGTATGGTGAGTGTAGAGAACCGGATACCCTTTTTACTGGAAACGAGGCATTCCATCTCAGTCCTCACGGGTGACAACGCATCTGCATTTTGATTTTTAATGGAGGATAGATGTAGATGTCTATGGGCCGCAGCAATCACTTACCATCAGGTGGACTGTGTGCTCGTTTGTCACCCTATTCTATAAAAAAAAAAACATCAATGTAAGTACTTATTACCAACTTTTGTTTATATAAAAACACAATACCAGGTTAGAGTGTATTTTGATAAAACATAGTTTAGTAGCTATCATAGTTTAGTTTATCTATAATTACAATTATTAGTTATAATATCTAAGTTATCGTAATTTATTACAAAATTTGACTTGCAATACCCTTCACCTCATGATGTTTTGTTTTGTATTAAACGATAGTTAAATATAAGTCATACTTACATCAAAATGATCTTCACAGAAGAATAGCCTGGTTTTTGTAGACAATGTATTCGGATATCATCTTCTTGCCAGTTTTATGCAAGTATTTCTTATATTTAAATACTTTACACTTGAGTCCATAACTTTCCCGGCGTTCTTACGCTCGTATTTTTGCATTCAGGCACAACACAAAAATGATTTAGGTGATAACTCATTATTAAACATTAAAAAGTATCTTACTCCTTTGCAAAACCGGTAAAATCGAGAACAGTCACGTCAAGAGTTGAACATTATGGCGGCTAGCGTTTTCACGTGAAAATTTGAAACGATAGATTAAAAGTAATTTTTATGGCACTATTCAGTTTAATTTTTTTTTATATAAAACTTATAGTGCTTCATTATCACTCTAGGATTCGTTTAAAACAATTTTTGAAAATGTGTGTAATACCCTATTATCATTATTGAATATAACTTTATGTATAGGAATTGGCGTCTTGGGATATGAAACTTTCAAACCACTTGGTGAACATAAAAGGAAGACAACTTCCACAAGAAAATATAGTGCAAGGAAATAACCACAAATATCCTGCAGGAGACACCACCGATGGTTGGACAAGGGATATGAGGTAATATTTAAGATAAAACATAAAATTTAATCAGAACAAAGAAGATAAATAGAAATAATCACTATGTAACACTCGATAACAACTCTTAAGGACATATTACTTCTAATTATTTAGCCATATTATTGTCTCAATCTAATATCACTTAAAAAGAAGAAAATTGCCTCTGTAAAAGCATGAAATGATCGATTTTCTTATTGTTACCAATTTTAATAACCATTAACAATACATCTGAAAGTCCAAAAACTGGTTAATAATATATTAATTTTGACTTAACTTATAAAAAAATTTGGAATTTATTAATAATATTATATTCCAAATTTTTCAGTTATTTGTTACGGTAGGAATAGTATGTATGGGAGGTGTTAATTGAATCAGATCTTCAATTAGACTATTCTGAAATACATAGTAGTGTTTCGTTTTGACTACACTATTATTAATATAACTGTGATACTTTTACCTAAAACTATGTATTTGTTTATTGAGAAAGCATTTTATTATGTTGAAATGACAAAAGCCATGTCACATAATAATCCACACAATTCTTTTTTATCCAAAATGTAGTTGAAGCGTAGAAAAGCTGTCATCAGAAGTGTTTTAGACACACAAACCTTCAACCCATTTAATTAAGAACATATTGAATAAACAACTCTACTATAATAACAACCTACTTATAGTGTCCTATCAGTTTTTTAATATTTTTATATCTGTTATTTATTTGAATTGTAATCACATTTGTATAGATCAAAACCACTGCTTTCCATTGCAAACCTGCCATCGTGGGTTGTAATAACACCAGAACGACAAAGACAAGATGCAGGAAGTTTCGTCAACATGATTATAAAAACCGGTGAAGGTGTTGGCTTCCGTATGCCGCGACCTGAAATTGGTAATTATTTTTCATATAATTATGTTTACAATATGCTTTTCACAGTTCAACCTTGTAAGAAATGAGTACATTACATACACTATGTACTGTCTGTTTTAATTTAATTTTTCGTAAATATTTAAATACTCCTATTTTTACTACACAGATTTGCTCATTTTAAGAAAGATTTTCTCTGGATTCTTTTTCGCTGCCACCGCCATGTGGCACCCCAAAATCAATCACCCCATTTGTATGTGTGTGTGAGTATATGTAAGAGGCAACTGGGAGACACTAGAAAGAGCTCATAGCTTCTCATAGATGGCGATATAACCATGACATTTAAATCACATGTTGAATCTGTTGCGTCTGTCACTGCAATCCCCAATCCGTCTGCTGACCGTTGCTAATTAAGACTAAAATTAATTGCAGTTAACTCGTTCACTCGGCTACGGGTCTGATCAGATCATACAATACCTACCTTATGTCGGCTCTAGTACGGGTCGGATTAGATCAGAAGTACTGCCTTATGAAAAAACTATTTTTTCCTTTAAAAAAAACCAAAGACAATATGCAATAGATAATAGTATCAAAGACAAAGATATGCTCTTTTATTTTAAACCATAACCTGCCAATGTTTCTTAGAAAAAAAAAGAAATCACTGAACTTTCGGTGTTCCACGTGCCGTTTTGATGAAGGTGCTCCGTCTTTTTTATAGAATTTTATATTTGTGTCTGGACTAAAAACGAAAGTATTATACTTTTTTATATTCCTTGTAATATAGTAAACACGTAGAAATATAATTTGTGGTATAAAAAGTGAAAAGTAAATTGCCAAAAGTACTTCAAAATCCGGAAGGCCCATTTTGGCGGTTGGGTCATAAATGTGTTATTTTTCAAATTCTCATTTATTTTTAGTGTAAAATGTAAGTAAAAATAGTTTTTTTACATATTTCAAATAACTTGACGTTGTATTTATTTCAAATTCAAAAAAAAATATTTTTGAAATATTGTTCGAAATGTCAAACAGATAAAATATTATTTTTTTTTTAATTTTTTAATATTTTAATATTTTGGTATGAGTAACGAATAGAAACACATAAAACATAAAAATATACGTATTTCCAAACATTTTCATATAAATTTCTCCAAAAACAAAAGTGTATAATTCAAATTAGTAGTAATTTTGTCACTAAAATTGAAGTATATACTACTACTATGCTATACAGGGTAATTTATGTATTTTATTACAATTTCTAGCAACCAAAAATAATTTTATTCGATAGTTTATACATTCAACAAAAATTCCTGTAAGTTTTATCCATAAATATTGTCTCAAAGTGAAAATATAGCAAAATTTGCAATATAGCAAAAAATTTACTAACTTGCAAATAACTTCCCGCTTTGAAAATTAATAATTTTCAATAGTAGGAAGTTACACATTTCGGGAGCCGTGGTAGCTCAGTGGTTAACGCTCGCTGTAAATATAACAGATCGCGAGTAACCCGGGTTCGATACCCGCCGGCACCAATGGAATTGTTAATTGCAATTTTAAGTGCTGATCTACCACGTGCTCGGCGGTGAAGGAAAACATCGTGAGGAAACCTGCATGTCTGAGGAATAAGAAAAAAAATAATTCGAAGACATGTGAAGTTCGTCAACACGCATTTGGGCAGGGTGGCGGACACTTCCTTGCCCTAAACCCTCTCAGAAATGAGGGGAGGCCTGAGCCCAGCAGTGGGACGTATATAGGCTGTAACTTTACTTTTTTACTTTACACATTTCGGTCCGATTTTGAGAATACAAATTTTCGTCATCTTTAAGAATGGCTTCCTAAAACCTCATTTTAGGAAGCCGTTCTGACTAGTCCCGGCTGGGTCCAATGGCGCGCGTGTGCGCGTGTGTGTGTGTACGTGCGTGTGTAAAGTTCTTCGATCCGTTCACTCAAATCCTTACAAACATTTTTCGTACTTAAAAAAATGCCTCAAATTCCGTCAAACAAGTTAAGCGTGGAATTCGCTCGACGCACATGTTCACGGGCTGTCGCCGCAATACACTACGCAGACTCATCAGTTTGTTTTAGACCGGCTACGTGATTAGTTGTGCGCGCACATTAAGATGACAACCCCGAATTGCAAAGCTTATCATTTATTTATTATTAATTTGGTGCAAAGAATGGTATAAAAATAGAAATAGGTTTATCCATATCAATTTACATAATGGATTAGAAATTGATGAACCAGGAGACCTGAAACGAGGTATTCCACCTAAGTCCTCACGGATGACAACGCATCTGAATTTTGATTCGTAATCGGGGATAGATCTAGATGTCTATGGGCCATAGCAACCACTTACCATGTACAACTACTTGTGCATTGACATAGAGTCGTATAAACTCTTCCCAGGATATTTTATTATCATTGAAATTCCTTGCAAATGAATAATCTCCTTGCCGTGTAGTGGCGGTTGAGAATATCCACTACCCCATATCTTCCCGTGGGTGTCGTAAGTGGCGACAGAGGGAGACAGGCAGGAGATGGGCAGCAGCATCTTCCTGATAACAGCAATGATATAATAAAAAACTGCGGTTGCCAACCCGCTCGCCAAGCGTGGCAACTATGGCAAATATCCCCCCATGAGTAACGACGCAAACAAACGGCCCCCAGTCCCCGGCGGCCCCGCTATTCCTGGCTACGGCGGCGACCATGGTAACGGCGGGGCAGGGGGTGCTAAGAATCTCCGGTGGAGGTTCGGTTGCCACCTACGACGACTCGACCTGGCAACATATAACGCACTTACCCTGAGGACTGACGAGAAGATACTGGAGTTGGAAGAAGAGGTAGACTAGTTGCGCTGGCATATTATTGGGTTATCCGAGGTCCGAAGAGAGGGGGAGGACACGGTAATCCTCGAGTCCGGCAACTTGTTCTATCACCGGGAGGGCGACCATCTGTCCCAAGGAGGTGTCGGATTTATCGTCCACAAGTCTCTCATCAACAACGTTGTAAAGATTGGAAGTGTGTCGACGAAGGTCGCGTACCTGATACTCAGAATCACCAAACACCAAACGGTATTCGCTGAAGTTCATACAGGTTTACGCACCAACCTCGGCACATCCCGAGGAGGAGGTGGTGGAAATGTATGAGGATATTTCCAGAGCCATGAATTCCTCCAAAATCTACTACACAGTGTTGATGGGAGACTTCAACGCAAAACTAGGCACAAGAAAAAGCGGTGAGCTGAAGTTAGAGAAATTTGGAGTAGGGCAACGGAACCGTGGGGGTCAGCAGCTGGCCGACTTCATGGAGAAAGAGGGACTCTTTATGATGAACTCCTTCCAGAAGCGGCCCTACAGGAAATGGACCTGGTCGAGCCCCGACGGTTCGACAAAAAATGAGATTGACTTCATTATGACGACCAGACGCCAACTGTTCAGTGATGTCTCAGTGATCGCAAGGGTGAAAACTGGCAGCGATCACCGAATGGTTAGAGGCACAATGAACCGAAACGGTAAGTTGGAGAGATCTCGTCTAATGAAGTCAACGCTCCGTCCCCCTCGTGCTCTAATCCAGAATCCCGAAACCTTTCAGCTCGAGTTACGTAACCGCTTTCAGTGCCTAGAAGATTGCTGCAGATTGCTTTGCTTGGCGTATGTGGACTATGAGAAAGCCTTTAATTCCGTCGAAATTTGGGCGGTGCTACAGTCTCTTCAGCGGTGCCAAGTTGACTGTCGGTATATCGAAGTGCTGAAGTGTTTGTACAGTAGGGCTACGATGGCTATCCGAGTACAGAACCAGAGTACGAAACCTATCCAACTGCAGAGAGGTGTAAGACAGGGTGACGTTATTTCCCCGAAACTCTTCACCGCTGCATTGGAAGACGTTTTCAAGCTACTGGACTGGAAAGGATACGGTATTAACGTCAATGGCGAGTACATCACTCACCTTCGATTTGCCGACGATATAGTCCTTATGGCAGAATCGCAGGAGGACTTAAGCACTATGCTCAATGACCTCAATAGTGCCTCCCAACGGATAGGTCTTAAGATGAACATGGACAAAACAAAGATCATGTTTAATGTCCATGTCACACCTATGCCGGTAGTTGTTGGGAGCACTAAGCTCGAAGTTGTTGACGAGTACGTTTACCTGGGACAAATAGTCCGGCTAGGTAAGTCCAACTTCGACCGAGAGGTCAATCGACGGATTCAACTCGGCTGGGCAGCGTTCAGGAAATTACAACGCATCTTCTCGTCAGGTATACCTCAAAACCTGAAAACTAAGTTGTACAACCAGTGCGTGTTGCCAGTGATGACATATGGAACTGAGACGTGGTCCTTCACTGCTGGCCGTATGAGGACGCTCAAAGTCGCTCAGCGAGCTATGGAGAGGGCTATGCTCAGAGTTTCTCTGCGTGACAAACTTAGAAATGAGGATATCCGCAGTAGAACCAGAGTGACCGACATAGCCCAACGGATTAGTAAGATGAAGTGGCAATGAGCCGGCCATATAGCTCGAAGAACCGACAACCGTTGGGGAAAATAGGTTCTCGAGTGGCAGCCTCGTACCGGTAGACGAAGTGTAGGGCGACCCCCCACTAGATGGAGTGACGACCTGGTAAGACATGCAGGAAGTCGATGGATGCAGGTGACTCGGGACCATGCTTTGTGGCATACCTTGGGGGAGGCCTATGTTCAGCAGTGGACTTGTAAAGGGCTGTAATGATGAATAATCTCCTAAGTTCGTTAAATAATAATAAAAGGCCATCTGCACTGATTGCTGTCGCTCTTGTGTCTGAACAGTCAGTCCGGAGTTAACATTCACATTCGGGCATGTTTGTTGTGCAGACAAAATGAGATCGCTTGGTCGTTCAACAGACAAATCTGACAGAGCGACAGTGACAGTCCTACACTATCAAACTGCACAGACCTATAGTAGCGAAGTCCGGCGGGCATGTCTGCAGACATGCCCGTAGGCATGTCCATCTAGTGAATTCCCCGCTTTAAAATCGAACAACGCGTTCAAAAATTATAGCCCTAAAACATCTCAAATGATCGTTTCGAGCTCAAAATGTAGATAGATATGTAAGCGAGAAGTTCCAGGCATGCCCTGTAGGGTCAACGGTTTTTCAGATTTTTACTTTGACCATTAGTTCGTAAAAATACCTCTTTCTTGGAGGAACCAGCAGGAAACTCAGTGAGACTTACCACAGGAACATAATACAATAAAAAATAGGTTGTACATACAACACTCATATATGAAATACTTCTGGGTGACAGGCTTGAGTGCTTATTTAATTTAGTATTCATGTAAATATAGGAATCAAAATATTTCTAAACATAAATAATATTGTGGAACTGACTACTACTTATAGCACACAATACTTGACTTTAATTCTAATAAACATCGCTGTAATTCAGTGATAAAGTTGCACAGCAATGAATGGTGAAGTTTTTAAAATATTACGTATGTATGAAATTGTCATAAGTTATTTTTTTTTACAATATTGATGTACAAAGGCAACCTCTTTTACTTACTGTCTCAATAAGTATAGAAGATAAAAAAAATATTTTCTTACTAGATTTTATATGTTGTACCATATTATATCAATAAAACATTAAAATGTTAATTATATTTCATTTTTAGTTACAATTCAACGGGATGGAAATATGGATTACGCGAATATGTGTGAGCAAGTGATTGCAAGAAAAAATCCTGCTTTAATTCTCTGCGTTTTAGCCAGAAACAGTGCAGACAGGTAAATCATATATTTAATTGTACAAATTTAACTACGGTCATATGTTATATTCTTAAAAAATGTTTGTGGCATACTTTATTTGATGTTTTGTTCAAGACAACACTGATTATTCAGTGTGATTTATTAAATAATCGTCAGTTAATATTTATTGCAATGAAAACTTATCACAAGTTGTAGTTATTTTGCATTTCTCAGGTGAGGTCTATGTTCAGCAAATGGGCTTGTGGGAGGCATATAATGATGATCACAGGTCACATTTTAAAGAGCCAACAGTTGTGAAACGCCATGTCAGGCTAAATTTTAGACATTACAGTTGTGAAACACAATTGATGTTCGGCGATGCGCCGCCCGCGTAGGTACGCGGCCAGCATGTATGCTAGGGCTTGTCACGAAAATGGAAATAAAATAATTTTGGTTATTATCCGTGGTTATATAATGGTTTTAAAATGGTTGTATAACGGTTTTAAATGCTGTGGGTGGGTGTGCTCGCATGCGTATAAAAATATGAGGGACACATAAGCATGGCCGTCATTTGAATTCAACTTTAGTAACTCATATAACTGTAACAGTAATTCAACATTATAGCTATTATATTTTTCGAAAACGGCACTTAAAATTGGTTAAATAAGTATTATAAAACACGCTCCCGTCAACCACATGTATTGTACAGCAGACTTAGTGAAGTGCGCTGGCACAAGGTCATGCCGCCCACTGCCCCGCAATGCCCCCGCCGTTGCTCTGCACAAGTACATTCGTTTCACAACTGTTAGACTCTCTTTAAAATACATAATTATGATTTTATTACAATTATAATCATATTTCCCATATCTATAAACAGGTACGAGGCGATCAAAAAGAAGTGCACAATAGACCGCGCGGTGCCGACGCAAGTCGTTTGTGGTCGTAACATGACTAGCAAGTCTGCAATGTCCATTGCAACAAAAGTTGCCATTCAGATCAATTGTAAGGTAAATAATGCAGTTTGATTGATTTATTGCAAACACTAACAAAAAAAGTTGATACTACTTGATAGTATCATTTCATTAAATTTAGTAAATTGTTAGTATAATATAATTCCATTTAAAGAAATTTAAAAAAATCAAGCTGTATCAAAGAGTTCTAATATACTTAATATGCATTGCAAACCTATGTCAATTCAATATTTTCAAATCCATGTGGTTTTTTGGTACTTCTATTATGGCTGATACCCCTTTGTTATATATCAAATTTCAAATGAGGAGGGGTGACACAAATGGTTGTATGATATGAATTAAAACACCATCATACACACACACACACACACACACACACACACACACACACACACACACACACACACATATGTATGTATGTGTATATATATATATATATATATATATATATATATATATTCATACATATACGTAACTAATTGTACGTCCACTATGGCCAATTTTGCATATAATGTGGCGTCAACCTGCTTACGACGTCCAATATACGGACATTAAATAGGAGACAGCGCAATGTTCGCAAATTGTCATGCTGATCACAGAAATGTGAAATCTAAAAAAAATTGGATGTCATTTTTCTTCCAATCTTGCTGTACTGAATATTTACGCAGTTCCGCTAATTTTCGTTGCAAAAATAATTGCGCTGCTGTCGATTTGTGAATATTTTCATTTATGGCCCTATTTGACTTCCGCACAAAAATAGATGCGACGTTGCTGTTCCGTCACCGTTGCCAACGTGTTACTTGTATTTGATGATATATGGTTATGACTGCCTCGTTGGTCTAGTGGTTGTAGTAGTGCGACTGCTGATCGTGAGGTCCTGGATTCGAATCTCGGGTCGGTCCAAAAAATCAATTATTGAGTTTTTCGGTCAAGAAATTTTCAATAGCTGCCCGGAGTCAGGAAGTTGGCGGTGTCTCACCCCCGTGCCTCGGAAAGCACGTAAAACCGTTGGTCCTGCGCCTGATCTCTCTCCGGTCGTGTCGATTTACCGTCCCATCGGAGTATGAGAATGAGGGAATAGAGAGTGCACCTATGGTTGCGCATACACTTTGGCACTATAATCCTGTCCTGCGCCGATGGCTAGTCTCCGTTGAGGCAGGCCGCCGTGACCGATTCGGTATGCAGGACATTATTATATGGTTTATACTGCGCTTGGTACTAGTAATTTTACTTTTAAGCTGGTTTTCTTAACCTTACATTTACCTACCGTAATATGGACGTCCGAATATCCTAAAACTGTCATACTGAATGATATTTGACACCCGTATTTTTGAATTTAGTTATATTTTTATAATTGTAGATGCGAACGTCGGCTTATCGGTTTATTTCATGCTGTACTATATTTTAACATTTTACATTTGGTACTAATCTGCCTAAAAGAACTCTTGTTAGGTATTTCGTAAGCAACCCATAATTCTGTTTGAGTATAAGTTACCTTCTGATTGAGTACAGAAAGATGGACTCAATTGTAGATATTGACAGGTTTCATAGAAGTTTTTTTTATTCTATTGTGACTAATAACCTCATATGGTCCGGTGTAGTGTTATGCTACTTACATATCATTTTACACATTTTAAATTTATTTTTCCATTCTGTTTTTGATTTTCTGCATTCACCTCAAAACTGGATATTTTGCATCACCTTTATTTCCATAGGATCCTGTAACGTTTTTAAACCATAAGAACACAATAACAAATTATTTTCTAGTGTTATGCTACTTACATATCATTTTACACTATTTTAAATTTATTTTTCCATTCTGTTTTTGATTTTCTGCATTCACCTCAAAACTGGATATTTTGCATCACCTTTATTTCCGTAGGATCCTGTAACGTTTTTAAACCATAAGAACACAATAACAAATCATTTTCATGATTAAAAACTACTTTTACGGATTTTATCGCGTTTATTTTTGCTTTTAATTACTTTTATTTTTAATTCCCGACGTTTCGGGCGCTTTCCAGCACCCATGGTCACGGGGGACTGAGATGACTGACGTCCCGATGTCATTGTTAAACCCGGAGTACCTTCAGCTTTTTAATTATTGTTTATGGTCCGATCTATTTAAAATGTACTGACTATGTCTTGAGGTCTTGCAGTGGTATGCTTGGGTTTAGTTTTAATTTTATTGATTATAGGATCCCAAGTAGGTGGTAGTACCCAGCCTCCTTCTCTATTGAAATTAGGATGTTTTTTAATTTCAATAGCCTCACGTATCATCCTTGGTAGGAATCGGTGTTTTTTCGCGAGGATTTGTGGTCTATCAAATCTGATGTAATGGTTGGGGCCGTCCAGGATATGATCACAAACTGCAGACTTCCCGGAACGTGTTTTTTTTTTCTGATTCTGAATCTGTCTCTGAATTCTAATCTGAATTTAGTGTGACTGTAATTTACCTAGTTTTAATTATTTTTGGGATAATAATAACTTCCAGGATGTGCGATAATTATGTTATATGTTATATTCATGGTTATATGGACGTCAATTATCGTGCGGTATGAAACTTTACTGATAATCTGACGTCCACTTATAGAAATATAACAAAATTCAAAAATATGGACGTCAAATATCATTCAGTATGAATGTTGTACGATATTCGGACGTCCGTATTATTTTATGTAGCTAAATCTAAGGACACGAAAACAAATTGGAAAGTAAAATTATCTACTAGCACTGAATACAGTATAAACCGACAAAAAATACCAAAATATTCCTTGAGCACTAAATAAATAATCAACATAAATAAATAGTAAAATGCAATAATCAACAACAACTTTGGACATCGGATATCGAAGAAGTGGACGTCAAATGAAACTTAGTGTGAATATTTTAAGATATTCTTACGTCCATACCATATATGGGTAAATACTCCGTTCAATGTCCATGTCAAGTACGTTAATCAACCCACACAAGTTTATTTACCTAAGTTACTAAATATAACCAAAGAAACTTAAATGCAAGCAAGCATAAGCGTGGAAAGTTCTCAATGTGCGTAGGTCACAATACGGACGCCGATTAGAGCACCATATGCATGTTTTTAGTAATATAGCGTCCAATATTTATAACAACAAACACAAACAAATTGTATTTCAACTAATTGCAAAACCAAACATAATATCATAATTTAACAAAAATAGCCTTTCACAAAAATGAATCTAGTTAAGTACTTCCTTCGGGAGTGAACGTAAGCATAAGAGATGAAATATATAAATGATAAAGCTGGATGCGGAATTTCTTACTACAACGAAAAGAAAGAAGAATTAATATTTTAGGTGATCTCCGAATGTCTGACGGATCTTTTGTGAATTTTACTCGATTGTCAACATCTGATTTCGAAACCATCATAAATGATCGGACCTTACATAGCCCATGTCGCAAAAAAACTAAGCCGATCTGTTAGGCACTCTTTGCGTCCAACTCGACTCTTGATGACGGGGGAACACACCGCCGACCGTCCCGCGATATGAGTGCTCTATGCAGAATGTGCTGTTTACCCAGCGCTCGGTGTGCAGAGCACTCCTCTCCCTAGACGACAACAAGTCGAGGTGACGTGATGGCGTCCGTCCTATTGTGCTATAGACGTGTGTTCCGGAGTTGGTACCGGTTTAACGCGTCTTTTCCGGTACCCCTTCTCCCTAGGCGTAGTTCCGAAATCATGGAAGACATCTTTAGTGCACCCAATCCCTAAAAAAGGTGACCGCTCAGATCCTTCTAACTACAGGCCTATCGCTATCACCTCCTTGTTCTCCAAAATAATGGAATCCATTATAAAGCCAGCTCATGAGGTACCTTGAGGATTAGTGATCGCCAGTACGGTTTCTGTTTGGGTCACCCATCTAGTGATTTTATGGGTTACTGTTACTGGCGAAGGCTGTTAGTATGGACATAACGAACGCCTTCGATCGGGTTTGTCACAAAGCGCTTCTTACGAAACTTCCTTCCTATGGGCTACCCGAGAAATTGTGTAAATTGGGTCACCAGTTTTTTTGCAGATCGGAGCATCAAGGTAGGTTGTAGTAGACAGTGCGTGCTCCGATTACAAACTCATTAACGCTGGTGTTCCACAAGGCTGCGCGATATCACCAACGCTGTTTCTTCTGCATATCAATGATATGTTGCAAAGTGGTAACATTTATTGCTATGCAGACAATTTCTTTTCTGGGTAATTTAAGCACCTTGTCAATATACAAAACATGACTCTGGTATAGCTCAAGAAGTAAAAGGACGTTTTCGTTTCCCCCATAGAATACTATAATATATACATAATAGAACGGGGGACGGGCGGAGCCCGTGTAGCCACTTAAATGTCAATTATATATCGTCAATTCACACGTATAAAAATCAACACGAGATGTGTTTTGACGTAACAATCATTTACAAATTTCGCATGTAAATTATTTAGAAAATGCCAAATTTCACACTATTTACAAATAAATATGTATTTAAATTTAAACGATTTTTTAATGATGATCTTGAACATTAATCAAAAGTCTAAAATGTGTAAATTTACTCAGTGTGTCAACACAGCGAATTTTTAGTTTTTTACACAGTTTGTAGTAGTGATAATACAACGTAATTGCTTAGGTTAGGTTAAGGTTAGGCTAGGTTAACAACCATTCTAGTGTATTATAGTATTCTATGTTTTCCCCACACTACTGCTATGTTGCAAGCCACATTTGTGCATATGACTACACCGGGTAACAAAATGACGCGAAACTGACGTGGATTAATGAGTTTTGGATACGTGCGTTCGCTCTCAGAGCGGGAACAAGCAACATGTCCCGCGCCACGCAAAATTTTGCTGGTCACTGTGCAACATTACATCGTCACGTAGATTAAGTGTTCCGCATCATGTTGCGGGACAAAATGTCCCCTAGTGTATCCGGGGCTTAATTGTGCTTGTCCCATTTGGTGTGGGTGTAGTGTCAATGGTTTATGTACCTGCGACGTTTGGGTCGATGGGTCGATGGGATCGAGCGCGCGTGGTTGTTTTATAAGTACGTTACGCGGTCTATAGTAGAGTCGGTACGACGTTTGGTATCGAGACGTAGTTGACTGTGTTTGCCACCAGCTGGTTTGGATAGGTTTCAGCTCTATCAAAGTAGTGCTAAGACATCTTGAGGTATTCGGAGATAGTAGGAAGTTAACAATCATTACACACATTGACAATCGCACACACACACATTTCTATACATTTATATTTTTATATTATTTTTATTAATATATTTTTAAATTTGTCAACATAAGTAATCTGTTTCAATTATTTTTGTGAGAAGACTGGCTCGCAAGATACAGGTTTCACCTACATTAGGGGCCAGGGACTTTAAGTTTATTTGTTAAAATTTATTAATAGAATTTAGCATTATTATTATTACTACGCAGATCTAAATTCAGTTTATAGTTTATACCATCGTGCTCTGGTGGCTTTTCGGATTAATGAGTTTTGGACTTTTTGTAGTTCATATTAAAGCATTGTTTACTACATTTAGTCATTATTACCTGTTACTTTACAGCTCGGTGGTGCCCCATGGACAGTGGAAATACCACTTAACACACTAATGGTTATTGGCTACGATGTGTGCCACGACACGCGCTCGAAAGAAAAGAGTTTTGGTGCATTCGTGGCGACACTGGATCGACAAATGACGCAATATTATTCAGCTGTGAATGCACACACGTCTGGAGAAGAATTGAGTGCACACATGAGCTTCAATATTGCCTCTGCTTTGCGGAAATATCGCGAAAAAAATGGTAACATCAAACTTTTTCACTGTTAAATAATATGACAGGGTATTGTTTTCTTAGCAGGTGCTAAATAATCTAATTTTTATACTATGAATATTTTTAGGGTGAGATTATTAGCAGCATATTATATTTACAGTTGCTTTAAGAATTTGATTACCCAAGTTGTTTAAAAAATGCTTCATTTTAATCATTATTATTTTAGGTACCCTGCCCAGCCGCATATTTATCTACCGAGATGGTGTAGGAGATGGTCATATACCATACGTACACAGTCACGAAGTATGTGCCAAAAATAAATATTGTATTTATGAATTCATTTATGCAGTTATATTTACTCTCATTGCGTTATTTAGTATTTAATTGGTACACTAAATGAGGATATTTTATAGGTTGCCGAAATTAAAAAGAAGCTTACCGAAATATATGGTGGACCTGATTTTAAAATGGCGTTTATTATTGTATCAAAACGCATAAATACTCGAATATTCGTAAACACTGGAAGATCTGGAGAAAACCCTAAACCTGGAACTATCATCGATGATGTTGTGACACTGCCTGAAAGGTAACTAAAATGTTTTGTTTAGAGTTTTATTGAAATATAATTGCTGATAAATTGAACACAATTTAAAAGCAATAATAATAATGGTGTTTTTAAAACAATTTTTTTTTCCAGATACGATTTCTACTTGGTGTCGCAGAACGTACGGGAAGGTACCATTTCGCCGACATCATACAACGTCATAGAAGATACTACTTGCCTGGAACCTGATCGCGTATGTATATTACAACACCTTTGGACCTTTCTGTGTAGTTTATGTAAAAAAAAAACTATTTGATTAATTATATAGCTCTGAGAGTTGCTTTTATTTTCTGAAGTAACTTCTCTAAGCTCGACTTGAGAACTTAACTCTCTTTTTTCGTTTACATTAACATTTATTAAAAATTTAGGGTCTATTTAAATTAATTTATTTTCTATATTGTATATATATATCAGTACCTAATTTTTTAATAAGTTATATTTAAATATAAATTAAATTACACATAAATAAAACATAGACCTTAGATACATAATTGAAACTACTTTGCAAAGTTGTCTTGAAAACACAAAAAAATAGTGTTGCCATATTCTAACCTGAAAGGTGTTTCTGTCTTAATCATAATACCACGTATAAATAGCGGGTTTTCGTTACTACACACGATAAATACATAAAAATTGACAAAATGATAGGTTTAAGCAATGGACAGACTTTTTGCTGACAGCAATATCTTCCAGGCCTGCTACGTAGGTCACTCAATATGTTTTGAGATGCTTGAAATTCAAAAATGGAACGCACCAGTGTTATATGTTTCTAAAAAGCAAATTTATTTAAAAATGGAACTCCATAAGCCAATTGCTCAATATTAGGAAAAAAAAACAAAGTTCTATTAATTTTCCTCTAACGCTTCCCACGCTTTTCATTTAAAATGATGTATGCTAACCGTGAACATTTGCTCCCTATGATCTATTATGATTTTAAATTTGGTGTAACCGAACAATTAAGTTTACAACGGTTACAATCAGCATTAGGGGACTCAGCTCCATCACGCGCAACAATTTTTAGGTGGTTTGCTGAATTCAAAAGGGGTAAAATTAACCTTAAAGTTGACCAAAAAACCGGGGCCCCGCAAACAGCAGTAACGGCAGAAAATGTATGGACTACTGAAATGTTGGTGTGAGGAGACCCACGAATCACATATACGGACATCGTAAAGATTGTAGGCATTAGTTTGGCGTGCATTCATACCATCCTACATCAACATCTTGGAGTGAGGAAGCTTTGTTGTCGTGTGGATTGGTGTCATGAAATGCGTCTACGTTTTGAAAACGAGGTATCTAGGCATGTTTCAGAAATCATTACTGGTGACCAGACATGTATCTATTAATATGATCCGGAAAATAAAAGGCATCATCGATAAAACATATAAAACGAATCATCTGTATGAGTCTACTCAGAAGGACAGTTACCGACAAAACTGCAAAGACCTCGCAACGTCGGCAAAAAAAATGGTGGCTAATTTTTTATCGCGGAGCGGACATTTGTCGACGTCAATGCTGGCAAATTGTAGGTCAATCAACTCTAAATGGTATACTACAGTTGCATTACCCGAATCTTTTCAAGCTGTACGGGAGAGAAGACCAAAGACCGGGCTTTGTGGAATCATGCTGCATCACGATAACGCCTCTTCACATACCTCCGTTAGAACAAAAGCATTTATTGAGGAATATGGTGTTGAAACTCTTAAGTCACCCACCCTACAGCCCTGACTTAGCTCATTGTGATTTCTTTTTGTTCCCGAGAGTCAAAGAAAAAATAAAAGGCATGTTTTTTCAAGCGCCGAAGAAGCTATACGAAGAAGCGATTTCCGAGCTGTCAGATCAAGACTGGCAAAAGTGTTTTCAGTGTTGGTTTAGGCGAATGGAACATTGTATAGAGCAAGATGGAGAATATTTTGAAAAGATGTGAAATAAATATTAATAGTATCTAGAGTACTTTTTGTACGAGCGGTGATCCAAAAGTAATGATAATCGGTTACTTCAGGTCCGCATAAAAATCCAAAAAAAATATTTTTTGCTTGCTTATATACCCCTCTATGTCAGCCTAAAAAATCATATAAATAGATCACGATTTCCGGGAGATACATTCATTTGAATATGAACTGTCAAAGAGATAACATCAACATGGAGAAAAACGAAATTAGAGCTGTCATCAAGTACCTCTGTTTGAAAAAAAGTGTCTTCAAACCACTGAAGATGAACATCGCGAAGGACGCCCATCCACGTCCCTCTCTGAAGACAACGTGAAAAAAGTCGAAGATGTTGTGTTGGCAGATCGAAGAGTGACCATCAGGCATGTAACTGAGGTCACAGGGATCTCATATGGCAGTGTTCAAAGAATCCTTGTGAACGAGTTGCATATGAAAAAGGTCTCTGCGCGTTGGGTACCCAGAATGTTAACCGACGAGCAAAAGGAAAATCGAGTTGACATTTCGAGGGTTAATCTCAAAAAGTTCCAAGCAGATCAAGAAAATTTTTTGTTCCGTTTTGTGTCTATGGCGAGACCTGGATCCACCATTTTGATCCTGAAACGAAACAACAATTGATGACTTGGAAGCGAGCCTCCACACCGACGCCAAAGAAATTCAAAGTTTCAACTTCGGCGGGAATGGTTATGGCATCTGGTTTTTGGGACGCTCAAGGCATAATTATGGTGGAATATTTGGAAAACGGAGCCACTTTTACGGGCTCTTACTACGCAGACCAAATAAGAAGATTACGGGAGGCCATTAAGGAAAAAAGACGCGGCAAACTGCGAGCTGGAGTGCTGTTTCACTAAGACAACGCACCGGCTCACAAAGCCGCAGTTGCGATGGCTGCCATTCAAGAAACAGGATTCGAACTGCTGGAAAATCCTCCCTATTCGCCAGATCTAGCTCCTAGTGACTTCTACCTCTTTCCTCGGCTCAAGGCAAGCAGCAACAAAAAGCAACGCCTCCGAGGCAAGAAATTCGAAGACGATAGCGAAGTAATGGCCGCTGTTGAAGCGTTTTGGGAGCGTCAAGACAAAGAATTTTTTTCAAAGGGAATCCTGGGTTTATAAAAAAGATGGACTTATTATTTTAACTTTAATTACCGTGTTTTATTTTCATTATCATTACTTTTGGATCACCCCTCGTATATCTCAAAACTTATTGAGTGTCCTACATGTGTACTCATCAATCAGGATGTTATTAAAATTTTTGAAAAGGTTAATTATTGACATTCTACAAGCACAGCTCACTTGATGGTAAGTGGATGCTGTGGCCTATAGATACCTACAAATATCATTAATTGAGAATCAAAATAAATACTACCTCATGTTCAGTATCGAGAAGAAAGTTGAAAAGTTAAACCCAACAACTACTAAAAAAACGCGGTTTGATTTTTTTTTACGTGGTAAGGCCAGGCTTCAGCTTTATAGTAGTTGCAGCACGAATGGATCGGTGCGGCCGGGAAAGAACCACGGTCGCAAAGAAGAATACCGCCGTGAAATAGCGACATATAACTGCTGTTCATACGTTGAGTATCAAGGCATTCTTTCTTACTGCTAGTAGTAGTGGTGACTAAACGTGTAAATTTTGATTCTTAATCGAAGATAGATATAGGTGCCTATGCCACAGCATCCATCCACTTACCAGTATGTGCACTGTGCGCATTTGCATTTAATTTAAAAATTTAAATTTTTATTTTGGAATAACGATGACAAATGCACACATGTGCATTTGTCATCGTTATTCCAAAATAAAAATATTTTTGTTAGGGACCGTTTGGGATCACCCTTCTAGTTCTTTAATTTTGGGAAATTCAAGATACGGTATTTTATACAGCTGCATTTTTTGTTTAGGCGTGCTAGGCGTATTATTCACTACAATCCTGACACGCGCATATAGTTAGTCTCCGTTGAGACTGCCCTCAGCGACCTAAATTTGTTCTGGAGGACTCATTAGTTTTATATATTTTCGGAATGTACTTGTTAAGATCTTCTATTAGATACCAAATATGATATTTTAATCATATTTTTTTGCACCTAAAATTCGCTTTAAGCTACTATGTTGGATTTTACACGGCTTACGGTTATAACCTGATGTTGAGCTAGTGCATGAAGATTTTCTAACAATACCTCATTTGTCAAAATACGGCGAGTTGTTTAAAAGGTTTTAGAGAACAGATGAACATAAATACATAATCTGTTAAAATCATATAACCCTTCTTTATGGCTTTGCCGTAGTCGGGTAAAAAGGGTGTGAGAATGTTGTCCTTCAGTGGAGCCACCTGTTCGTGCTGCAATTACCAATTAAATATTATAATTATTAAGTAATTTTTTCTTTGTTTTATTTTCAGATTCAACGTCTTACATACAAAATGACTTACATGTATTTCAACTGTTCTAATCAAGTACGTGTGCCGTCTGTATGCCAGTACGCGCACAAGCTGGCGTTCCTAGCTGGCAACAGTTTGCACAACCAACCGCATTATTCGCTCACTGAAACTTTGTACTTCCTTTAGGCTGTATATTTTCAATTACTCATTTGTCGCCATTTGGTTTTTTTAAGCATTTTCATACGATTTACCCACCGGGTTATTTGTGTGTTAAGAATAAATGACATCTATGATCGTGTTTTTTTATTAATTAGTACTTGGAGCTATTTGTTGATGTGGAGTGAATTGAGTCTCTCCTTATTTTAAGATTTTTTTTACTTATTAAACTAGTTTTAAAAGACACTGGTTTGCATTTGCACCACTCTTAAATGAATGCTAGAATGCATTTTTGACTCGCATTTCTTATAAAAGTGTTTTTGTACTGCTCTACATTATAAGTGTTTTTGATTTTTGTGATATTGATTTGTGATCAATATAAATACCTCTAATTACTTTCGAAAGGCATTGGTTCAGTGATTTAGTCTATCAATGCTGCTACCTAGCCATATGTACCTCAGTTGATTGTTTTTTGCGGAAAAATGTTTTGTATTAATAAAAACTAAATATATACATTTGCTAAGTCATAAGCTGTTTAGTGATAATAAGATTTGCTTACGAGAAATTTAATGAGAGTTATTAAAACTTGAATTAATTTTGTTATTGATGTTTGACCAGAAAAAAAAACCTTGGCGAGGGAATTATCTTTCTACATTTTATAAATTTACATATTTGTACTAGAGATTTTTAATATTCCAATTTTGAGTTTTAAAATGCTAATATGTATTCAAAACTTGAACATCTTTTGCGGAAATGGCGTTTATTACGAGTATACCCCAAATATGTCTATATGATGGTGCTACTTGAACAATCTTGACTGCCGTATAGGTATTTTTTTTTCTGGTCATACTTTATTATTAGGACTTTTAATATAAGATTATATTTTTATACGTGACTTTTATTTGATTGGTCCATTTTCCATTTTTCACTTATACTACACACACTTACCTTCCCTTAAAAAATCAAATTCAACGTAATAATATCAGTATCAATTATCAACATTTGAACCCAATACTATGTGTAAAAGTAAAATTTAAAAAAAATCCAACGAATAAGACTTCATTAAAGAGATTATCAATAAAGATTTTCATAAGCGATTCGCGTCGAAGGTAACTTATTAGTTACTTATAAAAAACTTTAAACTCTTTTGATTAGTTAAATAGTGTTTTGACTTATTCTGACATTTGCGAGACACTTGTTGCTAAAAAGTGAAAACACCATTGAAGTAATGGGTGCGTTTGGCAGAAAAAAGCGCTAGCAAGCGCTTACAAGCGCTGAAATAGTTTTCGGCCAGGACACGATTGCTACTTCAGTAGCGCTGACACAATCCGCCATTTTGCTTATTTAATTTGTTTGTTTTGAAGTAGACTTTATAAGTTTTTTTGTGCAATATTAGTTTTAAGTAATATAATGACATGAATAGACAATATGCATTATACATGTTAAAAATTCATGATTGGTAAGTTTTTAATATGAATACTTTACAAACATATATTTAAATTAGGTTAGGTTCCCCGGTTAAAACTAACTTCGTGTCCTAGAGGAAAATAGCTACTTTCGATTTGACAGCGCTTACCGTTTACGATCGCCATTTTGCTTACAAGCGCTTGCTAGCACTTTTTTCTGTCAAACGCACCCAATATGTACTTACGTACCAGAACAGCTATTTCGAACAAAACATGTTCGCGCGGTTGGTTTTGTTATCATAGAATAAACAGGTAGAACGATCAGTAGGTAATAATATATTGTATTGTTAACCTTTTGAGCGCCAAAGTCGTCTATACGTGACCAGCACCCGCGGGCCCTGAGCGCCAACGACGTCTATAGTTGACAAAAAACCCGGCCCACAAAAATATGAAATATAGACATTGGAAAATTATTACTGGTATTTTAATTCTACACCCCTCAAAAACGAATAACCCAGCAACATTTGAGTATAAAAAACAAGTCTCCTAGAGCCACAAGTACTAAGAAACATTGAACTAAAAAAAATGGATTTTTATGTAAGCAAATACTATGTCCAGCACGCCAAAGTCGTCTATGTTTGACCGCTAGTGTTGTAATGCGTTAGGCATAAATTTATTGAAAACTATTCAAAACTAAACGCAAACGTGTTATTTATTTAAATTATTATTAATATTTGAATAAAACAAAAGGTAAGAAACATAAAACTCATCAGCTACATAAATAAAAGAAAATTTTATCAAATCAACTTCGCATAATAAATCTAATGGGTGCGTTTGGCAGAAAAAAGCGCTAGCAAGCGCTTGTAAGCAAAATGGCGTTCGTAAGCGGTAAGCGCTGTCAAATCGTAAGTAGCTATTTTCCTCCAGGACACGATGTTAGTTTTAAGCGGGGAATCTAACCTAATTTAAATATATGTTTGTAAAGTATTCATATTAAAAACTTACCAATCATGAGTTTTTAATAGCATGTATATATTTATTCATGTCATTATATTACTTAAAACTAATATTGCACAAAACAACTTATAAACTCTACTTCAAAACAAACAAATTAAATAAGCAAAATGGCAGATTGTGTCAGCGCTACTGAAGTAGCAATCGTGTCCTGCCCGAAAACTATTTTAGCGCTTTTAAGCGCTTGCTAGCGCTTTTTTCTGCCAAACGCACCCTATATCTCAACTCTGGCGCATCCTTAGCGCGTCATCGATTATCAGTTCTGATCAGTTCATAGATTACTGACTATATACTAGAGAATCAGTTCATTGGGCGCCGTGGTCAAGGATAGACGACACCCTGATGACGTCATAAACGAATAGCGGAAAAAGTAGTGCAGTGCAACATGAACGATTCCTCAGAACTCATTCACATGCAATTTTACATTTTGTGATGTGCGATTTTCTTTCTCAATATAGGGTATTGACTGAAACCTCTATTATATTTGCTGATGACATTTCCATTATTATTTCGCATACAAAATACTAGAATTTAAATAATAAATTGAATCGTGTATTGAACCAGGTTACAAATTGGCTGACACATCACAACCTAGAGAATAATTTTGATAAAACCAAAATTATGCAATTCCCACCAGTTCAAAAATCACCACTAAATAATATCGCTTTTACTAATAATAATATACCTATAGGACTGTTGACAACTTCAACTTGTTAGGCCTGGAAATCGACTGCCATATAAACTGGAAAGCCCATATAAATAAAGTAAAAAATAGGCTATCAAAATTCACTTACGTATTACGAGAAATAAAGAAAATCACAGATGTCCCCAACGCTCTGTCTGCATATTACGCATACACTTCTTTGTAGCTGTCATACGGTGTCATTTTGTGGGGAAATAGTAAAGATGCACAGCAATTATTTATAATAAATACCGAGCCTGGTATCAGGAGTGCTACCGGCCTAATATCAACATCAAACCACTTGTTTCGTCGTATTCTCCAATAGTTCACACGCGTAGACAATTCTAAAAATCGCATCACTTTTACGAATCAAAATCTACTTCAAACCATTATTCAAGCAACAAAACAGGAGCGATAATCCATCGACGGCCAAAACCTCTCCCAGTGTATCTATGTAGATCGTTACATATAGGCAAATAAACATTGTTTTTGTGATAAAGTAGCCAAGCCAATTGTGTGGGAAATAACAGGATAGCGTTAATTATTAAAAAATGATAAAAATGTGAGAGCTGATTTTCAAACTTGCTCTCTTACTTACGCAATTTATCATTATCAATAATAGGACAGCGTAACGCACTATACATCCAGAATAGAGTAATTACAGTTTGACCATACCGCAGTATGTCCCCATCACAATTACACACCAGTGCAATGTGAAGGACACAATTACATGATAACACCAAATTATGCAAACCAACAGCAACCTTACCCATCTCAATGTAACACAGCACAGCCTCTCAGCAACACCATCCTCCTTGCCTGCACCAGAAGAATCACCACAATGGACAGAATAACTACTATCTTAACACGCGTCACTCGTGAAACGACTCAAGCGGAATCTCTCGCGCTCTGCACCTACACTGAACTTTATACTGCACAAACGAGTGGCAGGGTTTCTCGATATAGGTACCCTCAATTACAACTAGTCACTAGATCCAACCGGCATTTTATAGATGCGCCTACACGGCCAACCCTGACATACGACCGTCCTCGGCCGTGCATCTTCCTGAATTCCTGTAACAAACATTTAATCTCCAATTTGTCCGCTCGTCCATCCTGACATGAATAGGCACACTGTTCATCGTACCTTTAGATATTTACACACTCCGCTCCGCGCATAGATAAGCTACTATAATCGTGAGGCTCCTCGTCGTGCGCCATTAACGCAAACGATCGTTCCACACAATTGAGCTCCTACAAAACTGCCGAATTGCAGTGTATTTTCATGCAACACAACACAACGTGACTTTTCATCTGTAAATACTTTTAACATAATATTATCGTTAAAACTTGTATTTTCTGAATATTTTCGTAAAATACCAAGTAGTGTCAGCATAGTTCATGAAGTGAAAAATAAACGATTTTAAAATAAATATAATTTACTACACAAAATAAATATAGTAACGAAAATTTATTTCATGTCAACTAAATCAGTTTGTGACGAATAATAATAACAAACTGTAACGGAAATCCCCCATAAATCTGGGGTTTTCTTTACATCAAGGGTTTTGAAATATAGGTATAATCTATAAGTATAATATAATAAGCGGAATCTGACAGAACACGATGACTATATTCTGTTCGCGTGTTCGACGGTATTATTGGCAACGGCGACGGTGTAGTCGGAAGCCCCATGCATTGATATACAAAAAAACCTTTTTTATTTTTTATATCAATGGCCCAACGGCGCGGCGGTTTGCAGTGCTTTAATATGTAATTCTCAAAAACAAATAATTGAAAGGCGCTGCAAACGAGTATCTTCTATCGCATTCATTCGCCCTAACATATGCACTCTATCTCGTTTCTCGTCAGTAGGGCAAGTGAAAGAATATACCGATAATAATTTCTTAAACAGTATTGATGTATAT